TTTTTATTTTTTGTAGAGAAAAAGTCTCACTATGATAAATATTAACTTGTTTCTCTGTGTTCTCTTAAAGTTCATTGAGTTTTATTAAACTATTTTGAATTTTCTGTCTGAAAGATTGTATATCTGCATCACTTTAGGGTTGCTGTCTGGTCCCTTACTTTGTTTGTTTGGTGACATCATGGTTCCTTAATATTCTTGATGCTCTGGGACATGCCATTACGGCTTCACATTGAAAGGTTCGATATTTATTTCAGTATTCACAGTTTGGCTTTGTTTTTTGCCTTTCCTTCCAAAAATTCTAAGCTGACTGATTATTGTGTTCTTTGAGCTCTGGTCACTGCCACAGTTTCAGCACTAGATGGCATCCTAAGCTCAGGTTTACAGTGAGCACAGTTGATTTGTTCTGGCCTTGATGGACTAGGGAAGGGCCTAAAGAGACTAGTGGGTCCCTCTGCGTCTGTGTTTCCATCTGGGACTGGGACGGATCAGGCACTGCGGGGCTCTGCCCAGTGCTGGGCTTTACTGCCCAGTGCTGGGCTTTATCATAGTGTGCCATCAGTGGGCTCTGAGGCAACATCATGTGCCTGTTTCTTATTCCTTCTTCCAAGCAGACAGTCCTTCCCAGTGGAAAGATAGAGCAAACAGTATTGGCACCACTAATGCTGGGTCACAGTCAAAGCCCATAGCTGCTAAGACCAGCACAGTATAGGGGTATGCCCAAGGCCCAGGTGTGATGGCCTGCCTGCTGCTGAGATTTATTTGTGACTCCAGGCCTCCACAGAAGGCAGTGGTGATGCCGGCCAGAACAGGAGTCCATTCCATTTAGGTCACATGTCCGCCCGGGATCAAGGACCGTCAGCCTTTGCCTGGAGTTGGATTTTATTATGGCAGGCTTGACACTGAGTTCCAAGACAAAGTCCTGACCTTACATTTCTCTTCTGTCCCCAGTGAGCAGAGTCACTCTCTGAGCTGTGCTGCCCTGGGTTGGAAGAAGGATGGTGGGGTCTCAGTCCCTTGGCCTCCAGGATTGTTGTAACTCTAGGGTACCATCCAGGCCCATGCTATTATGGCCGGCCTGCTGCTGAGGTTCACTCATGGCCTGGGGCTGTTGTAGACAGCCAGAACACAAGTCCATTCTGCCATGGCCACCGTTTCTGCCTGGAGTCAGGGTGGGTCCAGAGACTTCATCTGTGTACCATGGTCTGGGGTCAGGGGCTGCGAGGTTCTGTACTAGGTTCCTTGTACTTGGCTACTTGGCTAAGCATAAACTCTGCTCTCAAATTGCTCAGTCTTTGGAGTAGTCAGATAATAAAAGAGAATTGTTTAAATAAGATACACAGTATTGAAGCACACTGGAGAGTACTAGGTTTTACTGTGGCAGGCTCAGCTCTGGGCTGCAAGTCAAAGTCTTGCATTCACTCTCCTCTCCTTTTCCCCTAAAGGAACTGTCTCTCTCTCTGTGCTGTGCTACTTGTCACTGTGAGAGAAGTGATATAGGCAGTGTGGACTTTTTCCTGCCTTCTTTTTTTGGAGTCTGGGCCTTACTCTGTTGCCCAGGCTCTGGGGTGCATCTTCGACCTCCTGGGCTCAGGTGATCACTCCACCTCAGGCTCCTGAGTAGTTAGGGCTGCAGGCACATGCCACCATGCTTGACTGATTTTTCTACTTTTTGTAGAGACAAGGTTTTGCTATGGTGCCCAGGCTGGTTTCCTGTCTTCTTCAAAAGATCTTCTCATTATTAATGCTAAAATCAAGTGCTGTGACTGCGATCTGCCTCCTTAGCTGTTGTGAAGGTATTTCACGCACAGATAGTTTTTCAAATTGATGTTTCTGTAGGGAGAGTCACTGGAGAGTCGTGTTCCATCATCTTGCTCTGCCCCTTCTTTTCCAAGTTATCTTTATCAGACAGAGGGAAGCATAAGTTCTTCAACAGTGATAGGTTTTTCTGAATTCTAAAAGAAGAATATTAAATAACATAATGGACAAATTAAAGAACAAACATACAAAGCTACTTGACCAAGCATAAGCTTTGCCCTCAAGTTGCTCATAGTCTTTGGAGTAGTCAGATAATTGTTTAAATAAGATACACAATATCAGAGTACACTGGAAGGGAATTTAATAACTTAAGTTCTAAGGAAGGTCATTGGGCAGCAAATATTTTCTAGGAATAGCGGAGGTGAAATGAAGTTAAAGTTAACTAGGCCAAGAAAGTACCTGGAAGAGATAGTTGAAGGGAGAAGTGGTGCATCCCAAAGGTATAGCACGCATAGTGGCTGAGCCAAGAGAGATGGTCTCTTGCAGTACATTTTTATAATTTGATATAATTGGAATTTAGGGACAAATAGGAAAGAAGTAGGAGTTGAAGTAGCGTAGAGCCTTCAAAGGATTCACATGAAATATACAAGCCATTTTCATACGACAGCTTATTTTTTAATATCCTTTAAAGCTTAGTATCATTCTCAAACTGAGCAACAAGACTCTCTTAGGTTTTTTTTTTAAATTTCAGTCCTTGTAAGTTTATCAGAACATATAATATGAATTGCTTTCACAAATTCATGCAATAATAATATGTACTAAGCCAGAGATCCCCCAAATTCCAAGGTACACTGTACTCTTAGTATCTCAGTAATTTTTCCTTAGTCCCCATAGACTCAGCAACTTGCAGGGTGCTGTAGTATATTTCAAATTTTTTGAGGGAAACACATGGGCATTCTTTTTTATTAGACACCTTGTGAACTGAGTGGAGTCAATTAAGTTTCAACATTAGAATATTTTCCATTCTCTTTCAAGGTGGAACAGGAAATGAGGGTGGAAGTGTGTATTCTGATTTCAGGGTTTGAGAAACTGAGAAGTACCTGACAAGCAGGCAGATACATTCCACAATAAAGAATTAAAGAATTCATTAAAGAATGAAACAAAAATGTGATTTTTTTTCAATTTATATTATTTCAAATACCAACTAAGTTGTTAAAATACAAATATTTGTCATTTGAACCTTACTGCTGAAGAAACAGAACTGTTAGGTATTTCTTTTGATCTATGGGGATGAAAAATTACTGAGATACTAAGAGTACAGTGTACCTCGGAATTTGGGGGAATCTCTGGCTTAGTACATAATATTTTAGCATGAGTTTGTGAAAGCAGTTCATATAATATGTTCTGATAAACTTATAAGGATTGAAATAAAAATATCTCGAGGAGTGGAATTAGCTTAAACTTTTTTTTTTAATCTAAGCATTTCTTTGCCTCAGTTCACTTTAGCCAAAACTAGACAGCAGGAATTTGGTATTTTATTCTTTGGCGATAGCCATATGTGTTAGTGTCTTTGATAACTAGCCAGAGGTTGACTCATAAAATTTGGAAACTAAATGGTTGGTAGGACTTATATTTCATTATAAATATTGAAAAATCACCCAGATAATATTTGACCCAAGTGGATAATCTTGTATCCACATAGTAAAAATTCAAAAATATAAAACTAGCAGGTATAGATTACCTAATTTTTAGGGATTAAGAAGTAGACATAAAAAGTATTTGCACCAGCTTATATATATGGGTGTGATGAATTCCCTCCAAAATTAAAAAAAATTTTAATTGATTAAGTCTGTGTCTCAAAGGTATATAAAGACTATATGGTGAAATTATATCTTCTTTTCCATATCCTTCACAAACTCAATTCTTCTGACCAGAGGTAACCATTATTTCTGGTTTTGTTTTCTTGTGTGTGTATGTGTTTCTGAACTTTAAAATTTTTAAACCATGATATCATAGTAATGGAGTTTAAAATAGTGAATGATATATAAATAGGTAGAACATAACTCAGGTTGTTGTAAATGTCTATTAGATGTGGTTAATGGATTTAATTTTCATTTTAAGATGAATAACTACTGTGTGTTACTGTTGCACTAGCTTTCATCAGTAGTGCGTAATTTAGAGATATTTTCAAGTTAGTGGTGTTCTTGTAGGGAGTCAAATTATTAGCTGGAGTAGTTGGCCATGAAGTATATAGTTGGTCTTCCATATCTGTGGATTCTGCATTTATGGATTCAATGAACTATATATTGAAAATATTAGAAAAAACAGTATAACAATAAAAACAATATGGCATAATAACTACATAGCATTTATGTTGGATTAGGTGTTTAAATAACCTAGAGATGATTTAAAGTATGGAGGTATGCATAGTTTATGTGCGGATACTACACCACTCTATTTAAGGTACCTGAGCATCTGTAGATTTTGGTATCTGAGGTGTCCTGGAACCAGTCTCCTAGAAATCTGGGAATTCTGAATATAGTCTTCCCAAGCCTTAACACTTTTAGTTAGTTAACTAAAAAGTAGACAGGAGGGTGTCTATTTTTCCAATATTAGTTTATTTTTAAGAAGTTTCTAAAAAAGATAAAATCACTCACCTATAGAATTTTTTTGTTTGCATAAATTTAAGGGGTATACATGCACTTTTTTTGCTACACAGTCATATGTCATGTGGGCTTTTAGTGCTCACCTATAGAATTTAGTCATTATTTTCATTTATGGAGTGACTACACTAGGCTAAGAATTATATTTGGAATTTCATTTACAGTATTTTGAATTGTCACAATATCTCTGAAAGGTAGTTACTTTATTATTTAGATTTTATGATGATTAAACTGAGTATTTGAAAAGGTAAGTATCTTGTTCAGGGTTCACAGTGTAGGGGTTGAAGTTTAATCTAGGTTCATAAGCTATCAAAATCTATTTTTACACGCCCTTGTCCACATTGGTCTCTAACTCCTGGCCTCAGATGATCCTCCTACCTCAGCCTCTCAAAGTGCTAGCCATTGTGCCCAACATAGAGATTTTGTATGGTTATAATAAAGATCAATAAGCAGTCTGTTATTTATTAAGGAGAGAATTAAATGTAATTAATCTTTTAAAAAAGTAGGCTGAAAGCACATCATATTTACTTAGCAGCCAGTTTTCCTAAACTCTCACTTTTGTATGTTTATTTTTTTCTGTAGGGGGATTCCCGAAGTCTTCCGTTTTCTGAGAATGTGAGTGCTGTTCAAAGAATAGACTTTTCAGATACAATGGTGCAACAGAAATTGGATGATATCAAGGATCGAATCAAGAGAGAAATAAGGAAAGAATTGAAAATCAAAGAAGGAGCTGAAAATCTGAGGAAAGTTACAACAGATAAAAAAAATTTGGCTTATGTAGACAACATTTTGAAAAAATCAAATAAAAAATTAGAAGAGCTACATCACAAGCTACAAGAATTAAATGCACATATTGTTGTATCAGATCCAGAAGATGTTACAGGTATAGTACTTTATTTGATGTTTATAAGGTATACTAATAAAAAGTGTATCATTTTAGAAAGTTTTGAGACGTATAGTTTTTAGCTTTTCTATAAGTAGAGATACTATTTTCTCTTATGGTTAACGTCTTCTTATAATTCTATTCAGAAAGGCAGTGAGCAGATGGGTATGAAAACTGAAATGTTTACTTAGTGATGAGTAACTCATATATGCTCTTTTGCCCTATGTCAGTAGGACATTACTTAGAGTTATTTTCCAGCATTAATGTTTTGTATTGAGTCACCACATGCTATTACCTGATTCATCCTTGTGATCAGCAGTACAAGTTTGCCAGATGACTTTTTAAAGTAAAAATGCATTCTGTGAATAAAGGATATTTTTTTCTTTGAAAATGTGATTAATCAAACCTGTGACCTGTGTTCTTTATGCTGTAAGCAACTGAATTAAGAAACTACTAAAATTATTGTTTAAAGGGGAAAAAATTTTTTAATCAAACATTTCTTTTTCTTCTTTTAAGTGTAGGTAGTAAAATGGCAAATATGAGCCATGATTCCATGTTTTTTAAACAATAGAATTAACAAATTTTTTAATAGTACAGAGAGTAAAAATAGAAAAACCATCTCTCTACCTTAGACCCCTCCCCCAAAGGTAAGATGACTAGCTTTTTGTTGTGTATCCTTCCAGAAAATTTTTAAAATATTTTTACCAACATTTATCCCTCAATAGGTATAATCTTTCTGTAACTTTTTATACCAAAAATCATATAAGATACATTTGATCTAATAGTTTTGGCCTTGCAAAGATGAAGTCTTGGGCAAGATATTTCATCTCTATAACCTTAAATTTTTTCATTTGCAAGAAATAAAAGAGTGGTATACATAGAGTAATACACCTACCATCATAGAAAATTTAGAAGAACTTGTGTAATTAGTTAATGAATAATAGATATAAGTACACTTAATTTTGATTAAGATATATGTAAATGTGGTGAGGAATCTCAAATTAACAGTATCAAAGTTTGCAGAACACACTTCTGATATTCAGTGTTATTGGTAAAACTCATTTTCATGCATCACTTTCCACTTCTGGGATTTAGACTTTTTATTTGGAGACTCTCTATAATATGGTTTCCTAAGGCTGGGGATGAGGATTGGGGTTTAACTGGGAGGACCAGTTGCTATAATATTTAGCAAAATTATGTAATTGAATCTTTAAAATGAAAGAACTCATAAGACTCCAACATTCTAATTTTAGAGCTGAAATAATTCCCAAGTGTGAATTAATTTGCTCAGAATTAAAAAGAACTCTTCAATTCCTCATCTAGTATTCTCTTATTTGCACATTTAATAATTATAAGTGGAAATTGTATTATGAAAATGCTGTTTTTAGCAATATTATATAAGCTTAGAAATAGCCTGTTCTATTGGAACCCTACCAAGGTCTACATTTTTTGCCCATTACATCTTTAGGAGAAGTCCAAATTAAGAAACAGCACTGGAGCTTTAAGCTCTGTTTATTTAGATAGAACATTTTCCTTCTCACAGAATACTGATGACTACCTTGTGATTCACTGGAATATAGAAGAGCTTTAGGAACACAAAGAGTAGCCAATTTGGTTTCCCTAGTCCCCTTTGAAAAATTGAATTTAGGCCAGGCTCTGTGGCTCAGCCTATAATCCCAGCACTTTGGGAGGCCGAGGTGAGCGGATTGCCTGAGCCCACGGGTTCAAGACCCACCTGGGTAACTTGGCGAGACCTCGTCTCTATAATACATCAAAAATTATCCCGGTACGCCTGTAGTTCCAGCTACTTGGAAGGTTGCGGGGAAGAATCGCTGGAGCCCAGTGGGTCAAGGCTGCGGTGGCCAGAAGTGTGCCACTGCACTCCTGCCTGGGCACCAGAGTGAGACTCCAACTCAAAAAAAGAAAAAGAAAAAAATTAAATTTATTGAAGTATAAATTGCAAAAGAAAAAATATGTGTATTTTGCATGTACATTTTGCTGATTTTAACAAATGTGGTATATGCACCCCATAACCATCACTGCAATCAATCTAGAACATTTTCATCACTTTAGTGGTTCCCTTGTATGGTGATTCCCAGTTAAACCCTAATCCCCATTCCTGGCCTCAGGAAACCAGTGGTCTGCCTTCTGTTAGTTTAGATTAGATTTATCTTTCCTAGAGTTTCATATGAAAAAAATGACCTCCTGTAATTCTTACTGTCAAATTCCTAGTCTCTCTCAACAACTAATTTGGATGTTATCATGAAACCTTCCCCAACTTTCTTGGCTTATCTTCTCTGTGCTCTTTTGTCCATTCATGGTTCTAGTATGTTGTATTGTAATTTATTTCAGCACATATTTATGTCACTTACTTAACTGTGTGGTCCATTGGTGGCAGGAACATGTTTTCTTTCATTTATTTTCAAGGCTTATTAAGAAACTGGAGGCCAGGCATGGTGGCTCAAGCCTGTAATCCCAGCACTTTGGGAGGCCAAGGCGAGAGGATTTTCTGAGCCCAGGGGTTCAATCCAGACTGGGCAACTTGGCGAGACCTTGTCTCTACAATAAATTAAAATATTAGTCAGGCATGGTAGCACGCACCTGTAGTTCCAGCTATTTGGAAGGCTGAGGCGGAAGGATCGCCTGAGTCCTGCAGGTCAGGGCTGCAGTGGCCATGAGTGTGCCATTGCCCTCCAGTCTAGGTGACAGAGTGAGTCTCCAACTTAAAAAGAAAGAAACTGGAACATAGTAGAGTTTAGTTGTAAAGTTTGGTTGTGAGTGTTATATGAAATATAACTTTCTACTGTGACTTTTTTTCTTTTTTGAGTCAGTGTCTCACTCTGGTCATCCAGGCTGGAGTGCAGTGAGATGATCACAGCTCACTGCAGCCTTGACTTCCTGGAGTCAGGCAATCCTTCCACTTCAGCCTCTTGAATAACTGGGACTCAAGCATGCACCATCACACCTGGTTAATTTCATTTTTTGTAGAGACAAGGTCTCACTATGTTGCCCAGGCTGGTCTCGAACTCGGCTCAAGTGATCCTCTGCCTTGGCCTCCAAAAGTGCTGGGATTACAGGTGTGAGCCACCACACCTGGCCTGACTTCTTAATACTTCAGTTAGTTTGGATTGAACTTGACAGGTTGGTCAGATTATTATTTTATTTACAAACATGTTCTATTTGCAAATGGCATATTCACACACTTGGTAATAAGTTTTTCTTTTTTTCTATATAACTGATTTGACATTAAAAGTAACGGCAGCATAGAGGATTAAAGTTAATTCAGCATTCACTTTAGGTCAATTTGCCATAAAATTTTAAATGTTTTACATTGGGCACTAAGGTAAACAAAATGAATTTATTTGAGATTAAGTTTGGCAAGTAGATTCAAGGACATTGTGCTCTGCTTTCAGTTCTGTGAGTGGATTTATAGCAGAAATGTTTGGTCAATTCCTGTAATCCTGGGGTACCAAGCGGTAAGTACAATGAATGACTAAAGGAAAGGGCAGCAAAAATTAAGTCTACATTGTATAAATGACTGCTGTCTATTACTTGCTTTTAATTCAACTGAAGAAACTATTCTCATCTTTAGTTTCTTATTTGTAAAATATGGATTTTTATCAGATGAACTTTTTAACTATAAAACTCTGAAATATTGCTTATTCTTATATCAAAGTCTTATCATTTGAAACTGTTATTTGTAAAATAAATGTATTTATTTACTTACTGATTTGGAGTCTCACTCTGCTGCCCAGGCTGGAGTGCAGTGGTGCACTCACAACTCACCATAGCTTCGACCTCAGGTGTCCTTCTGATTCAGCCTCTGAAGTAGCTAAGACTACACCCTCTCCGGCTAATTTTATTCATTCATTCATTCATTCATTTTTTGTGGAGACGAGGTATTGCTATGTTGCCCAGGTTGGCTTCAAACTCCTGGCCTCAAGTGTTTCTCCCACTTCTGTCTCCCAGAGTGCTGGAATTATAGGTATGAGCCACTGCACCTGACCCGTTTATTCTTAATAGTAGTAGGAAATGAATTTTTGATGTTCTCATCATTCCCGTGATACTCTAGTTCCATGTTCATCTTCTATATATTTTTTAAATTGTCCCATGGGCAAAAGGCATATGACCATCTCCATAAGTGCAGAAAAAGCATTTGACAAAATTTAACATCCTTTCATGATAAAAAGCTCTATAAACTTTTTATCATGGTTTAGGTTTAGAAGAAATATTCCTCAACATAAAAAAGTCTATGTATGCAAACCCCATCACTAACATCATTCTTAATGGTGAAAAACTGAAGGCTTTTCCTCTAAGATCAGGAACAAACAAGGATGCCCACTCTTGCCATTTTTGTTCAACAAAGTACTAGAAGTCCCAGCTAGAACAATTAGGAGAATGAGTGAATGAATGAATGAATGAGGGAGGGAGGATTGGTTGCAGTATATAAAATCAACATACAAAAGTCAGTAGCATTTTTATACACTAAATATCTGGAAAAAATTAAAAAAACAATTTCATTTACTATAGCATAAAAAATTGCTTAGTAAATTTAAGCAAGAAGTGAAAGATTTCTATACTGAAAATTATAAAACATTGATGAAATAAATTAGAGATGATGCAAATAAATAGAATATGACATGTGTTCATGAATTGGAAAGTTAATATTATTAAAGTGTCCATTCTATCCAAAGTCACCTACAGATTCAAGGTAATCCCTACCAAAATCCCAATGTCATTCTTTACATAAATAGAAAAAAGAAGACAATCCTAAAATGTGTATGGCACCATAAAAGATCCTGAATAGCTAAAACTAGCTTAAGCAAAAAAAGTAAAGCTGGAAACATCATACTACCAGGTTTCAAAATATTACAAAGCTATAGTAACCAAAACAGCATGGTGGCATAAAAACAGAAACATCAACCAATGGAATAGGATTCAGAACCCAGAAATAAACCCACACAATTACAATCAATTGAGCTTTGACAAATGTGCCAAGA